TTCAACCAATATAGATGAACAGGTTTAGGGTAAACCTATTGATTGCATGTTAGTCAGAAAGCGCACATGAATACGAGAAGAATAAAGTAGAGGTCTATTATTAGGGCAGGTTCAATCTCTTTTAGGTTGGATTTGTACCTTCTTCCCCAAACTTCCAGTCATGGTTCTGGACCTATTGGAGTTAACGATCTCATGGATCGTTAAGGGGTGTAACCTTCACCCTGTGAACGGTTTACAAGTTCCTAAAACTTGTTGGCGGCTCTTTAGCTCTAGATTCTTTCCCTTTGGACGCCACCATGCTTAAGTGTATGACCACAGTGGGGTTCAAGTTTGGGGTAATGCTTGAAATATTCCATACAATTACTAATTTGTGTTTTCTAGTGTTTTCGTAGTTTTGGTTGATTTTTTTAGGGGATTGCACATTTGGAGCAATTTCCTGGGATTATTAGAGCGACTACGAGCATTGGAGGAGCACGACCACCTTTCGTAGCCCAAGGCCAATTAGAGTCATCAAACTGGTTATTAAGGGCTCGACATATGAGATATCGAGGCATTTGGACTCAGTATTAAAGCCCCAAGGAGGAAATTTAGTTTGGGCTGAAATAATAGCCCAAACGAGAAGTCTAAGAGCTTCGCCCACCTGGGCATTGCCTCGCATGAAGGCGCGCCCGGCCAGGCGGGGCGGAAGAAGAGTCAGGGCATTGCTTTGCCCGAGCTCGCACCCTACCGGACGCGAGAGAAGGCTTGGAGAAAAAAGGCGAGCCTTACCGTGCAGTGCCTCACCCGACCGGGCTCGTGTTTTGGAGGGTCTTTTTCGACGATTTTACTTAGTTTCTAATTAGGATTTTTAGAGGCTTTGTATAAATACGTATTAATTGCTTTAGATACAATTATCTCTCTTCAATTAGTTTGATATTCTCTTAAGCTTAAACTTATCTCCTGTTTTCTCCCTCTACAACTTTGTTCTTTAATTCAACTCATTATTCCCGCTAACTTTGGTAACTATTTCTTCCTTATTAATTTCAGTAATTTAATTTCTTTAATTATATCATGTCTTATTTATTTGCTTTGATTAGTTTAGATTTAATTATGTGTGAGTAGTTTTCTTTCTAGGGTTTGTGGGGATCCATAAATAATATGAAGGGGTTATTTATTATTGTTGATTGTCGATGCTTGATTAATTTCCTATTGATTGATTTAATATTATGCAATTAGATTAGGCCTTGTTTAATTGTATGAGTTATGTAATATTGATTTGAGATTCGAGAGATGAGAATTGATGTTTAGGCTTAGTTTTAATAGGAGGACTAATTTATAAATGGTTAAGTCGAGATTCGAAAGATGAGATTTAATACTGGTAAATTAACTCTGTGATTGTAATATGTAGCGAAAGCCCTTTATGATCTGATTAATTGATTCATTGATGATTGATTATTATGTTTTACCCTGGGATATTATTTATTGGTGAACCTATACCCTAGGATTTTATTACTTGTTTTCTCACTGCTTTATTCTCCCTTAGTTTAATTTATTTATATATATAATTTAGTTACTCTATAATTTAGATTATATTAATTAATTAGGAATAGGAAGACTTGTTTCCCTATGGATCGACCCTTCTTCCCTATCAGCATAGTTAGAGGAACTTAGGAATTATTTTTTACTAGATGATACGACTTTATCCTGTCAATCGGGGCTGGGGTGAGCTAGGTACGACGTTTAAAGGTTAGGGTGGTGCGTCGTTCAAGTGGTTGATTGAGGGTGGTCAGCTTGGGGAACCAGCAACAACGATGGGGGCAGGTGGAACCGGCGCCGGTGGTGAGTGCGGTGTCTAGGTTAAGATTTTAGGGTTTTCAATTTTTTTATCCAATATATAGCTGACACATAAACTATGTGGGGCCCACTAACGGTTTTTTGGATGGTTTTAGTAACTAGTGGTGAAATCCAAGTTTATGGGTTTTTTGTGGTGTTGTAATAAAAGTTTTTAGTTTTGTGGTATTATAATCAAAATTTGTGTTTTCTTTTTGGTGTTATTTTCTAAAATTTCCTATTTAAATAAAAAGATTTCACAAAACTTTTTAAACTAAATTTAAGCAACTATAATCCAAAAATTATATGGAATTTTTTTTAAATAATTTGTGACCCACTTTAAATAAAAAATTACTCACGTTTTTTTGCCTACTTTTTTTAATTATGTATTAGAAGGTACAATTAAAAAAATCAAATACTAAATCAACATACTACTTTTATGATTTCTCGACTAATTTATGATTATATTACTTATCAATAAAAAAATCTATGACTATATACAATTATAACTATATATCACCGTGCATGGCACGGGATCTAACCTAGTAAATTTTTAAATTTAGTATGGAATAGCATTTTAAGATAGCAAATTAATGCTTATAATCCTTAAGCCTTAGGGCTACATATATATATCATTATCCTAAAATTTAACTTTATTTGTACATGTGTGTTTTCTTCATCAGTAACTATCATTGTTTATATAGACGTGGTAGCAATGTAAAGTTACGAGGAAAAACACAAACTCCATACTTATCGGGATAGACAACTATACCATGATTATTATAAGTAGAAAGTAATTCTTCAGATATGTCAAATTGAATATAACGGCTTAAGCTTCTCATTCACATCTTTACAATATGTGTATGTATATATATATATATATATATATATATATATATATATATATATATATATATATATATATATATATATATATATATATATATATATATATATATATATATATATATATATATATATATATATATATATATATATATATATATATATATATATATATATATAGGATTAGGATCATGTAAAAACAAGTCTTAGGGTGAAAACATGAAAACAATTAATCCCAGCCGTAGATTATAATCTAACGGATGATATTTAATGTATATATATCCTAATTTTCTCTCTCCTCCCGCGAAAACACTTTCTCTTTCCTCTGTTATTTTCTTCCTCCTCTTCCTTCTCTCTTCACTTTCTCTCTCCTAATTTCTCGACATTAGCGAACTCCTTCAGCAACACCGCTTCAATTACCATCAGCGAACTCCTTCAGCAACACCGCTTCAATTACCATCAGCGAACTCCTTCAGCAACACCGCTTCAATTACTTTGATTTTTAGCAATTTCTCAGCTCTACGATCTATTATCAGGTGAGTTCTTTGTGGTAATTTCGCTATTTTTGCACGATTTGAGGTTATTAGGTTTCTGAAATTTTGTTTGCTGGAATTTCATGAGTACTTTTTTGTAGATTCAACCGAAAATTTAATGTCTATTATGTTTTTCGTGTATGATTTTTGTTTAATTTTGTAATTTTGCAAGTTTTTTTATTTTATTTTTTCGATTTGATTTTATTTTTTGAATTTCAACTTAAGTTTCGTTTTAGTAGAAGTATTTTTTAAATGTATTTTGTTTAATTTTTCTTAATTTAAGTAAACTAGGTTTTTATGTGTATTTTTGCTCGAAATTCTGCTTTTGTTGTTCTTCTTCATCTTCTTAGTAACACGATTTTTGTTGAGCATAATTTTGTTTTTGTTGATTTCGAGTTTAGCTGATTTTTGTGGATTTTGATTTCGAATTAATGCCTGTTAGGAATGCGAATAGCTAAAATGCGAATTGTGTGTGTGTGTTTGTGTTTGGAGTAGTTAATTTGAATTTTGAGTAATTTGAAGTGTTTTTAGTGGATTTGTGAGTGAATTCGGGAGAGTTTGGAGTAGTTAATTCGAATTTTGAGTAATTTGAAGTGTTTTTTAGTGGATTTGTGAGTGAATTCGGGAGAGTTTGGAGTAGTTAATTCGAATTTTGAGTAATTTGAAATGTTTTTAGTGGATTTGTGAGTGAATTAGTGAGAGTTTGGAGTAGTTAATTCGAATTTTGAGTAATTTGAAGTGTTTTTAGTGGATTTGTGAGTGAATTAGTGAGAGTTTGGAGACATAAATTAGCTACACTGGTTCCTGCTTCCACTTGGTGTCCAACTCGATTTGTATTTTCCCGTGTTCCGTTTGGTGTAGGCAACAGGAATGGTCATCAATCTCTTGCTAATGATGATCTGGAATTGAGACCTGACCAACATGGTGACATGTTTGGAGATGGACTAACTGCCTTGGTTGCATTGGTGTTCCTTGATGCTGTTGTGTTTCTCTCTTACAACCTGTCTTTTCTTATTTGTGATTTGAAGTGGTTTCATCTGCATCAAATGTCATTAGGTTCCTACATGAATTATTTGCCTTTTGCACTTAGATAAATTTTCTGGTGTTTGTGATATTGATGCAAAGACTCTTTCCACATCAACCGTAGAAAGAAAGAAAGAAAGAAAGAACATAAAGTATGAAGAATGCTTCCTGGTTTAAGATACTGACTTTGATTCTATATGTCCGATTTTTGGTGTTGAGCAGATTGCTTAAGCGACTAACCCAGGAACAAACATCTGGGGTGGATATGTGATAGATTGCTTCTGATCATGCTAAATCGACATCTACATGACTTTCTTGACTGTTGAAAAGTGTACTTCTAGTCTGACATATGTGCATGGTTAATTTGACTCTGTACTGGATTTTGCTTCAAAATTTCTGAATTAGGCCTGTTTTGAACTTGAATCAAGGTAGCCAGAATTCGAGGATTTGGATACCTTAGTTTGATCTGATTTTCACTGCCCTGACCTGACCTGAATTGATTTTTTTATTCGTAAACAAATTGGTTGTCAAAAGACATAAATATGAATATGACCTGAACTTGTTCTAAACCAAACCAAAATAAACTGAATCTTTTTGGAGGGGTGTTGGACTATGTTATTTTTGAAGTTTTGTTTTAAAAAAAGGTCACTATGCCATAAAAAGAGGCAACTACTTTGGTTTCTTTTGTTTATCTTTTTGTATGTCTTGTTACAGGGTGCAACAAGGATTTTCATTCGATTTGGATTAGATTTTATAACTATGGTGAGAACTAGAGGTGGTGGTACTTTTAAAAAAAGGAGAGGCCTTCGTAGCTCAACAGGAGGAGTTAAATTGAAAGATACAGGAGGTATGATGAATGTTTGATTTTTGGATTATTAACCTTAATATACTAGTTGCTCTATTATGATAGTCTCCTAATACTATAGAATGTAGGTCCCTATATTAATATAAAAGTTACTATATTATTAGTTCCCTATGTAACTGAAAAAGGTCACTATATCAATGACAATGATTATTATTTTTAAGTTATTAGTTTGCTATATTATAATTGTTTGCTAGATTAAAATGAAGATAATTGTATATATAACTATATGCTTGCGTGTTTTTAGCATGTATCAATCTCGATCATGAAGATGAAGAGCATATTGATGGTGGAAGCAAAATGATCGATGATGATACTAACAGAGATAAAGATGCTTGTATTGAAAAAGGATTGAAAAAGAAAGCTATCACTAAGAAAAAGAAACCTTCTAACATTGAGAATGCTATACCTTTGTCAACTGTGATGGAAGGAAAGAAGGGGAATAAGTCTTCTTCTTCACATGCTATTGTTTTGCCAGCTAAGAAGAGAAAGTTGGATGAAAATGAAGGTCTTAAAGTGAAGAAAGTGAAGGCAAATAAGGATAAGAACATTGTGATTCATAGGCAAGAATCTGCAATCATAGATAGTGATGTACATATGTAAGTGAATATTTGTTTCTTTTTTTTGAAGTTTTGTTTAAAAAAAAGGTCACTATGCTATAAAAAGAGGCTACTATTTTGGTTTCTTTTGTTTATCTTTTCGTATGTCTTGTTACAGGGTGCAACGAGGATTTAAAACACGTTGCAGGCCATTTCATTTAGTAGAGATGATTAAAACTTTTTCAGATGATCAAATCAAGGTTGTTAAAGAAATTGGCTTTGGAGGTTTGTTATCTTTGAAGGTGAAACGAACTGCAACTGATATGCTATCATGGTTGGTAGATTGTTTTGATCATGGTAGCTGCATGTTTACTATTGATGGTAAAAAAGATTTTGTTGTGACTGAATTTGATGTGTATGATGTTTTTTTGCCTTCCTTGCAAAACATCTAAGAAAGTTGAAGAAATTTCTCGTTGTGCTAATGTCATCAACCCTGATTATGATTTAAAGGTTAAATGGAGGTCTCATTTTGGTCTTATGGGTGAGAATGATCAGATTCCTTTGGGTTTTTTGGAATCTAAGATCCCTTTACTAGTAGATGGTGGGGAAGAATTCAGACAGCTTTTTATCATGCATGCTTTTTCAAGTTTTTTAGCACCTACGTCCAACAGAACTGTGGATTTGAGAATTGTAAAATGTTTGGTTGATGTTAATCAAATAAGAATTTATAATTGGTCAAAATATGTCTTAGATAGACTTTGTGAAGCTGTGAAGAGCTACAAAGAAGGAAATATAGAATGGTTTTGTGGTTGTGTTTTGATGTTAGAGATTATCTATTTTCATCGATTGAGGTTTAGGAATGTTGTGTTAAATTCTACAATACCTTTAATTCAACATTGGACTGATGTGGATATAAGAGATAGAATTAGAAATGAAAAGTTGTCCAAGGGTTTTGGGTGTGGAATTCTTGAGTTTGATACATATCCAGTGAGTGAGAAGTTGCAATTTGAGGATGGACAAGTTGTTTGTAATCAATTCAAGGAAGCTCCTGTGAATCAAACTTCTGGAAAAGAATCTGTTGTTTATGAAGGTGTCCGTAGCAATGTTAAGGGTGTTATTCAGTTTGAGCTACCTGCCAGTTCAATGTCTAATGAGGAAATCCGTTCAATTGCTATTGATGTAAGTATTTTACCCTTTAATTCTGTCTGTCTGTTTGGTTTTTTCTTTTTTTTTTTTTTTTTTTTTTTTTTTTGTCACAAATTATTTTATTAAATCTAAGTGCTACATTTTTTTTTCACAGGAAGTTTATGAGAAGTTTTTGCTCATGAAAAGAGATTTAGAAGTGGTATCTAACTTCTACATGAATGAGTTGAAAGTGTTATTTCAGACTCGTAAATCTAATGATGCTTCAACTTCAACACCTCCAATGTCCCAAACTGATTTATTCTTTATGAATCCTCGTGTTCATGAAATTGTTGATGAGATTGTGTCTCTTGTAAATTGGGTAAGCAAAGTGCCTAATGGTTTGGATGATGATGATATTGATGATAATGGTGCACCTGCAAAAGAGATTAATGTTGTAGTTGGTGAGGTTCCAAGGATAGGTTTTGAGCATGTTTTGAGTAATGGAAAATCTAAATGCTCCCTTGCTATGGATGTTAGTCTCTTTGGTGATAAAGTTACATATGTAACTGAATATATGAAGTCAAGTAATAAGGATATGAAGGTTTTGGATGCAGTTGTCCAGGAACTTGTTGACTACTGCATTAGTGATTATCATGGTTTCGATCTCAAGTAAGTCATGTCATTGTTCTTTTTGTTATTTATTTTCAAATTTTAATAATAAGTGACTATGTTAATATACATGTGTCTTTTTATTTCCTTGTACAGTGAGGTGTTGGTATCTTTTGGCAAACCATTTGAGATTACAAGGAATGAATTCCTTTCATTAGGTGCACCGGCTATTGCTATATCTTCTGTTATTATTGATTGTTGGGCTATGTTGCTTAATGAAAACCAGAAGAGTAGTGCACATGGACCTCAAAAACTATATTTTGGTGTTTCTCAAAGTGTAAGTATCTTTCGGCTATTTAGTTACTACATCATTATAATGGTAGTTGTTCATTATAAAAAATTCATAAATTAATTTCACTATGTATTGAAAACAGTCACTATGATTCATAAATTAATTTCACTATGCAATGAAAACAGTCACTATGTAATGCAAGTAATTACATTTAAGAAAAATAACTCTACCTTCTAATTTTTTTAATATTTATTAATGTTTGTTCTTTTTTAGGCTTTTTTACTGAAAGTTGCAAACACAGATAGTAACACACAAGACATTGACAAGCTATTTGACATTTGGTCAAGATGGTTGTTCATTCCTTGCAATGATTTTGATATTGCAAATGTTGAGTTGGTAATACATTGCAAATGTTGACAATCATTTTTCAACTAAGTACTTTTATATTAAGTTTTTCAAGCTTAATAGTTGTTTATTTATTTATTGCAGATATTTGTTCCTATACTCTTGAATGAGCACTTTTTCCTAATTGTTGTGAATTTGAAGGAAGAAAAGCTTCAGTTCATAGATAATATGAGTTATGATACAAAGTACATGAGTGAGGTTGAGAAGTTCTCTGATGTTCTGGTAAAAATATGATATTTTGGATTTTATTTGTATTTTTCTAGTTAGGATATGCTTCATGGAACCTAAAGTATTAATTTATTTTGCCTAGAGTGATATGCTGAGTACTTTTCTTGATCAACGCCTTCCTCAAAGTAATGACTCAGTGAAGAACATGATTGAGTATACTTTGGAGTCACCTTCTGTAAATTGGAAGTCTGGAAAACAGAAGAATAATGATAGTGGCATTTATACTATGGTCAGCATGCTTTACTTTGATGGAGCTGATGTGTTCGACTGCAATGTTTTGAAAACGGTTATCTCGTCTCATTTTTTTTATTTGGCTTTCAATTTTTATTATATTAACTATTTCCTCCATGGAATTTAACTAGCTTTTTTATTCTAATTTTTGCTTAAATTTAGGTTTCAACTAGACGGACATTGAGAGCTCAGATTGCTGCTACTCTGGTATTATCTGATATGAACATTGTCAGAGATGAAGTTCTTGAAAAGCTATCTGAATTCAGATTAATAAGGAGTCAAGTTGCAAAAGATGTTTTTGATGGGATTAAGAAGAAAACAAAGCAAGGTAAAAAGGAAAAGAAAGTATAGGCAGACTAACGAATATGTGGATGAAGTTTTTTGCTCGAAAGTATTTGTATTTTGCACAGAAGTAGGAAATCTAATGTAATGATGTAGTTTGCATCAACAAATGGATAATCTGACAAAATTGTATAAGTGTTAATATAGAACAATATGATATGATTCCAGTTCATACAAAGCTTTTGAATTGGTGGTATTGGTAGTTCTTTTGATATGTAATCTTTAATTGACATTCAAGAAGTTTAGTGAAATATATATTAGTTATAAATTTGGCGCCTATGTTATAAAAAAATGGTACCTATGTTATTTAAAAAGGTTTCTATATGATAAGGTCACTATGTATTTAAAAAGGTATCTATGTTATTTAAAAGGTTTCTATATTATAAGGTCACTATGTATTTAAAATGTTATTAGTTCAATGTGTTATATATAATTAAGTTATAATGCAAAATTATCACCATATTCATTATTATATTTTGTATACATATGTGACAAGTTTTCAAAGGACCTATGATAAATATGTACCTAAAAATGTCTAACTTTTTTTTATCTCTTAAAAAAGAAAAAAAAACTTGAAAAAGGATATTATATTACTTTTTATAGTCATTATGTAAGTAAAATGGCATTATATGAGGTAAAAATTTCCAATTACTATGCGATGCAAAAGGATCACTATGAGATGCAAGAGCGTTACTATGTGATAAAAAAGATTTCTATAATAATCTGTCTCTATTTAAATAAAAGGTCACTATGTAAGGTAAAAGTGTCGTATTTATATTAATCTATTCTTAAGCTATTCATTTAGTATATCAATTAAAAGAAGGAGCCCCTCCTTCCCTAACTTTGTATTGGCTTAATCGATGTGGATTAGAAGAATTGTTAAAATGTGAGTATTTTTTATACGGTTGTTATATCATAATAAAGGTCATTATATCACTAAAAAGGTTATCACGGAATAAGGTGTCAATACGATGAAAAAAAGTCACTATGACGTTAAAAACACATACTATAATATAAATTGAAGTTATCATATGCCAATATGTCACTACATCAAAATAACAATATAAAGGTCAATAAAAAGTTTAACAATAAAAGGTCACCCTATCAATAAAATTTGAACAATAAAAGGTCCCTGTTTAATATATGTGAAACAATAACAATCACTATATCAATAAAAAGGGCACTATAGCACTATGTTCTTTCTTTCCTCTCATCTCCTCTATTTCAGCACTAGGCTGTCAGTAGCCGATGTTGCTTCTTGTAAATATGAAGTGGTTTTGCAGCCTTTCTACTCTTCTTTGAAATCCTGAAATCATGTACACGAACATATATAAAGTGAAAATCTAGTGGGAAGTAAACATAGTACAAAATTTATTTATTTTTTTCTACAAAAATACCTCATTCAAGTTGGATTTTTTTTGCGGACAATTCCGACTATCATGGTTTGTTCTCTGACCACAAGTTCTACAAAGTCTATCTTTCCTTTGGCTTTCCTCAATAGCTATCTCTTTGTCAGATTTTTTCCTTTTTCCACTACCACTACCTTTGTTGGAAGACTTGTTTGGAGGAAGAATATCAACAACTATGTCATTAGATCCAACAAATAATTCGATGTGTTTATTTTTTGCCTCACGTTTATCAACTGGACTTATAGAATCCAAGTCTTTCATCTCATTTTCAAAAGATATTAGCTTAGACAACAATGACTCTAGGCATTCAACTTTCTCCTCACAAAGACTTACACATGAAAAAAACCTGCACCATAAATCACCAACTAGCTTTTGCTTCTTATCCTTCTCTGCCCCATCAAACAAGTTGTTTAAGCCAAAAATTGGTTTCTTCATAGCTTCTTTAGTCCAACGATGTAAAACATATTGCCTTGGAATCTCAAATAAGAACTTTCCTTTCATGACAAAGAGAATGTGACGACATAATATTCCAACAGATTCAAACATTTTACAAGAGCATGAAGCATCATTAGAACACAAAACATATGTGACATGATAGCTTTTTTTCCTTGTGTTGTCAACAATTCTATATTGCTCAATCCCTTCTTCTTCTTTGATGGTAACATTACTTATACCACAATTGTACAAAGCATGCTTGAATTCCTTTTGGAATATGTAAAATACATTATGAGTGTAAGCAAATGCAGCATGCTTTTCCAAGTACAGGGGGGTGACAAGTTGGGGATGTGTAGTTTTTGAAGTAGCATTCAACTTGTCTTGTGTGTGCCTTTGAGCATCGATTGCAGATTCATAGCGAAACCACAACTCAACCAATAACAAATGCTGATTGGTGAAATTAGTGAAAAAGCTATTTTCACTCTCTGATCTTTGAGTTGACCTTAAAATCCCACCCATAAAAAGGTCACGAAAGTAGGAAGGAATCCACATATTCCTTATATTATACATATTTTTGAACCAATCTTCATTCACTAAATCAAATTCAGACATCACAGACTGCCAACCAATTTCAAATTCTTCTGGTTCAAGGTCTCTATTCCACACAACAGAGTTTAGTTTATGAAGAAAATCAGTTTCTAAGCATAATTTGGGCCCTACCTTTTGTGGCACTTTTTTCATAATGTGCCACATACAAAACCTATGTTTTGCCTTATCAAGAACTTTTTCAATTGCAACTTTCATCGCAGGGTCTTGATCTGTCATGATACAGGTAGGCTGACAGTTATTCATTGCCTTTAAGAAAGTTTCAAATAACCATTCAAAGGATTCAATATCCTCCTTTGCAAGTAAGCCTATCCCAAAAGTCACACACTTACCATGGTGATCAACACCCGTAAATGGGGCAAAAACCATAGAGTATTTGTTGGTGTCAAATGTTGTATCAAATGTAATCATATCACAGAACAACGAATAATTTTTTCTACTAATTGCATCTGCCCAAAATACTCTTGTCAAGCGTTGATGTTCATCCATACAATGCTCAAAGAAAAAGGCACCTTCACTGTTTTCAGCTTTTTCTTTCAAATTGTTTATAAACATCGAAGCATCTTTCTCTTGTATGTAAGCTTTCAAGTCTCGATTAAAGTTCTTGAAATCATTCAATGTTGCACCTATATTATCATAGCTACCAAGATGTTCTTTCATCAACTTATAAGACTTGTTTGGACCAATGTTCAATCTAGAGTTGTCAAAAATGAATTTTTTCTGGCCAAGTTTAAGGTTTCCAACATTTGCCAAAAAATTCATTGTGTTGGGAGAAGCAAGATTGTGGCTATGAGATTCATGAAAGACATAAACCATCCATTTTCCATCTGAACGTTCTCTAAACCCAATCATTGCATTACATCCAACACGATTTATGGTTCTTTTTCTAGCTTTAGGATTTTTATCTTTGTTAGAAACTTTTGCTTTAGTTTCACCATCCTTCGTAAACCCTTGTTTATTACAATGTAAATATTTCAAGTAGACTTTATCACTATCTTTAATTCTCTTTTCAGTACCTAGTCTTACCACAAACCCACCAAATCTAGCATATTGCTTATAAAAATCAACACCTTTAAGTAAGGAATCAAAAAGCATACCAAGTGTAGGCTTTAGTTCAGGGGGACAACACGGTATAAACTCTTTTGTTCCTCTGGGAGTGTAACACACACTTGGGCCCTTTAGTGACGGTAAGTTTTCAGCAACATTGGTAGTTGTAGATGTATTTGAGCAACTACCTTCTTCTGACTCCTCTTGCATTGTCTGCATATAATATCAAATATATGGTTTAAAATGGGTACTATAATAAAATAATCCATTCCATGGTGCAACTAACTGGACACCAACAAAAACAGTCTAAAATATATGGTTATGGTATCATAAAAAAGAGTTACTATATGGTATTAAGCAAGGTGTTAGTCATTTAAGCAAATACACAAACACCTTATGTGCAACAATTTCTCCTAGTGTTTAATATCATATATCCAGGAAAAAAAAACTTTAATATAAAAAAAATATATATATATTGCAAATATTTATACAAAAACGAAAAAAGAGCATATTGTTGATGAGGATTGAAACTACAAGTTGATGAGATTGAAACTAAAAAACAGAGCAATCAAATAGAAATTCAAGAAATTCAGCTTATATACAAGGAAATAATCACAGTTATATCGGTATTGTAAGCCGCAATCAACTAGAAATTCAGCTAAAAACAGAAATTAAAGAATGAAGAACACTTACTAAGATTATTGAGGAAGCCCCAAATTATTGAAGAATCACGAGCCCTCAATTTTGGGAGTAAATAATCAAAGTAGCCCTAAAATTTGACGAATTGAGGAATTGACGATTTGATAATGAGATGAAAAGAGGATTTGCTGAGATTTGCTGAGATTTTGCGTTTTTCAGCAAAATTAACAGAGGATTTGCTGAGATTTGCTAAGATTTTGTGTACCTTGTATTTCAACCGTTAGATTATATCATTAATAATCAATGGCTGAGATTTGCTGTTTTTAGTTTTCACCATAAGCCCTGTTTTTAGCGGAACCCTCCCGTATATATATATATATATATATATATATATATATATATATATATATATATATATATATATATATATATATATAAGATATTCCATAACCTTAATATTAGGATTTAGGAATAAGATAAACTATTAACATAAATATAATATCTAAAGGTATTGCTAAATATGCCCAAAATATTATCTTAATAGCCCCTCAATATGGAGCATGAAGATTCCGAATGCCCATCTTGTCTAGAAAAAATTCAAATTGCGCCTTTTCTAAGGCTTTTGTAAAGATGTCCGCTAATTGTACCTTCGTCAAAACATATGATGGCTGAATTATATATTACACCTTCTTTAATTGCATCTCGAATGAAATGAAAATCAGCTTCAATATGTTTTGTCCTCTCGCGAAACACCGAATTGCTAACTATATGCAAAGCCGATTGACTATCACAAAACATATGCATACCTTGTTTGTGTCACACACCAAAATCACCAAGCATTTGCTTAAACCATTTTAACTCACATGTCAAAGCTACCATCGACCCGTACTTTGCTTCAGTGGAACTACGAGAAGTTGTGTGTTGCTTCTTGATTTTCCAGAATATATGAGACAATCCATGCAACACAAACCAACTTGTTAACGATATACGAGTCAAAGGATAACTCGCCCAATCCGATCATACCAACCTTCAAGTTACAATTCACTATCTTATCTCAAAAGAATGCCTTTGGCCCGGACATTTCTTCAAATATTTAACTACTCTTAACGTCGCCTTCCAATGTTCCTCTTTCGGTGACTGCATAAATTGTGACAAAATATGCACAAAGTATGCTAAATATATCAATCTACCAATCAAGCATTGATATTTTTCACCGTCAGAAAAATCTTTCCCTTCCGCCAAAGCTAATATATGATTTTGCTCCATTGGAAAATCTGCAAGTTTGGCTCCTAACAACCCTGTTTCAGCAATAATATCAATGGCATACGTACGTTGATAGAAAGAAAAACCATGCTTGCTACGTCCCACTTCTAGCCCCAAAAAATATTTCAGAGCTCCTAAATCATTCATTTTAAAACATTCACTCAACTATGATTTCAAAACTTCCAACGCAAAAGTATTGTTCCTTGCAATGATCATATCACCCACGTAAACCAACACACTCAACTGCAATCCACCTTTCAACAGAGTAAACAAAGAATGATCAAAATGTGACTGTTTAAAGCCATATTTCTTCAAAGCGATGGACAAATTCTCAAACCAACATCTACCATACAAAGATTTTTTCAATATAAATATATATATATATATCAAATTTTTTTGCATATTCGGAATTTTA